AAGAGGGAGGTTTCGACTTGGGATCCACCACTTCTATCTGGCTAGTATGGCTGGGGCATTTCCTCCTTCCAATACCCTCCCGCCTTGCCTTGGAGAGAGGGTGTAGTGGAAAGAATTCTTAAACCTGATGGTTCCTCCTGTCTTCTCTCCTTTGGGGGAAAGTTCAGTGCCGGCTGTGTGATTCTCTTTAAGGAATGTCCCTGGTTGACTCAGGCAAGAACCAGACTTGCTAGGAGACAATAGGCATACTTGTGCCTTCCCCTGACATCATCTCCAAGCACCTAAATGCCATACATGACAACCAGGGAAGGCGGAGTCCCAGAGTCACGCTTGGGAAATGATAGGGGAGCTGTGTGGCCAGGTAAGCTGTACGTGGCCAGCATGTGGAAAGCCCTTCTCCCCTGTAACCTTTCTGTGGGCTCAGATATGTAAAAGTAACTGTGGTAATAAGGGGGCCCTTTCATGGCAGTGTAAGCACTTGCCCACCACAGGGTGGTGAGGTAAGGCTTAGTGAGTTAGTGCTGGTAACGTGCTTTGAGGATGAAAGTGCTAAGTAGCAATAGTATTATAGTAATGTTACCTGGTGATTGACTCAGATCTTTAGCAACAATATTAAGTTCAGCTCCATTAATTTTCTAAAAATCAGATGTTAATTCATACGCAGTGCTGCCAAATAACACAAACTAAAATGTGAAACCTGCGGGAAAGATCAGCCTCATTAAGCAATCCCTCAAAATCATTGGGCTCAATTACCTCCATGAGTTGCACCAGCAGAACCCAGGCTTTGCACCCCTGGGAGCAGAAAGTCCACTCAGATGTAGCAGCAAAGGTTTCCATCTGCAACCCCTTCTCCTCTGGTAGGAGCCCAGAATTAGCTCACATAGTTCCTGAATTGGCTGGGTGTCTACCAGAGATACAGCACATCTCCTGGACAGCCGCCATCTGCTGGGTTACTACGGAATCCCAGATGGAATTTAAAGCCTGAGCATCCCATTGGGTGAAACGTCTTTCCTCATCCTCTGATGCAGCTGCCTCTATGGGGGATGTGGGGATGTGCTGCAATTTGCAATAATGGGAGTGAATCTGGCCCATTTAAGTACACTTCTCCTCAACCTTTGTTAGCAGGCCTTCTTCTTTCAGAAACTGATATTTGCTGGTTTGAATTTACAAGGAGGATATATTTCCCCACAAATAAGCAGTATCTGTATTAGCTTAAGCATCATTCCACTGCAACGGCTCAGAAAAAGTTGTCAAGCAAACATTTTATTGTCTGACCACATCTCTCTAATGGGCAGTTTCAGATGTTTTAAAACAAGGTTTGATATGACATGATAGGAAATGATCCAAGTTCATGCATAAAACACAACATTAAATACTACAGTAACTAATTTTAATGCTTCCTGAATTGATCAAAATATTCGTAAGAGGTACACTAACAGCTCAGTTTATTTCTCTATCCTTTGTTTTTACTGTTATTCTTGGAGAAAAGTGTTCTTTTGGAGAGAAGTATGCAGGTGCAGGAGCATGAGCACTGGAACTGCCAAAAGTTACCCTTTAAAGCTACAGAGACTTCATATTTGCCACATCAGATCAAAGCATATAATCTATCTAGAGCAACATCCAGAATTCAGTGCTTCAATGGCAGATGAACACCCCGCTACAGAATTCAGTGCTTCAATGGCAGATGAACACCCCGCTCCTCAAATATACACCTTGTCAAGTGTACAGTGCTGTACACAGAAGTAGGAACTGATTCTTCCCAGAACTTCAGCTTATGCCCTGAACTATGAGATTTGATTACCGTCACTGTTATTTTAATTTGCATAGCTAAGATAGTTACTGATGATGCAGTTATCCAGCTCTTTTAAAAATCCTGCCACAGTGCATCTTAAAGAATTAAGCTTCAGTTACTTGTTATTTACCAACTCCATATTTGTATACTACTGTAACACAATTACTGTTGATGGCAGGTCTTTTCTAAATGTAGCTGTACATTAAAATGAGTAAGGAATGAATGAGAGACAATTAAGTGATTTTGTGTAAAATAGTATGTTTGATTTATGTCAACTATCATTACCCTATGATACACAAAGCCTCTTCTGGGGGAATAAAAGCAAACAATTTACCATATCATTACAGCTTACTCTTTATGTTGATGAATACTGTATTTAAAGAAGTAATTCTTTTTTATCATCATTTACAGGCTTATCATACATCTGTCATCATACAATTTCAGAAGTTTATCAACCAGCTTCACATTTAAATAATCTCCCTACATTTGAGAGGGAATAAAGCATGGTCATTAACAAAATAAATATGGACAGAATAAAAAGTTAGGGACAATTGAAAAAAAACAAACAAACGGGCCCAATCCTCCCTGCTGGATAAAACCCATTGGGTTAGATTGTTCATACCCAACTCATGTGTGTGAGAAGTCATACCCCTGCAGTTCACCATTTACTCCAGTGGGCACAGGATCAGACCCTCAGTGATCACCAATGTAAGGGTTGCACAATCAGGCCTATGATGGATGATGTTATCGGGGTCCAGACTGCATACCCTGCTTGGATTACACTATCCCTGTTGTATGCCTAGGCACAGGGGCATGATCCAAAAGTATTGAAAGTCAATAGGAGTTTTACCATTGACCTCTGTTTTCTTTGGATCAGGCCTCAAAGCGAGAAATATGAGAATACCTAACTGCCATAAATATTTGCTTCCCATATCAACTAAATTCATATTAACTTGTTTTCCTTGAAATAAAAATGCCATTCAAAGTTTGCTTTTAGGGATTTTTGTTTTTAAAATCTAACAAGTAATAATATTTAAAATGAACCCAAAAAGCAGCATACACTGAAGCCCACTGAAGTTCACCTTTCTTAATTCAAGACACATTTTAATTAGAGTCAGGAAGTCACATATAGCACAAAAACACAAGATAAAACCATATCCATTATATATGCTACAATAACATGTTTCTCATGCTTAAATATTTTGGCCAACATTCACCACTAAGAAAGACAATGAAATGTAAAATTGTTAAGTATTTCAGTTATTGCTGTAAATAAAAACAAAACTGATACACCTATTGTACTTCTGGAATGGAGAGGATGAAACAGTTTAAGATTTCTGCTTATTCTGAGGCACACATCATAGAGTATGCACAGCAAAACATAGTGATGTTTTTATTATTGTATACACTACCAAAACAAGATTTATCCACAGCCTGGAAATTTGCAAAACTGCAGTCAACATTTAAATAGGATATTTAAAAACAAAAGACAAACAAATAAACAAACCACATCAATACTTTACAATCAAGATGACCCACTCATTTGTAAGGCAGAAATGAAGAAAATAATCAAAGTTCAATACATCCCACCAACAATCTGAGAATGAGGAAACTGTATCTCTGGTTAAAGACACACATAAGAAAGAAAGAACGAAAGAAAGAATAACTACTAACTAGTAATACACCGAGAGGCTAAACCTGTTTAAAGACTTATTTATTTCCATTCGAGATTTTAATCATAGCGATATCGGCATGTAATGCCAATGGAAAGTGACTTTTGGTGTGTATCTGAAATATACTGTTCTAACCCAAAGGTTGATTTGTTTTGGGTTTTTTTAAAGCATCAGATTTACAGCATGTACAAGACTCTTCTACTTCTGTTTGCATTTTCACTTTTATCCCAATCACTGCCACTGTAGTTCAGTTAAAAATATAAACCAAGCAAAAAGCTGAGCTGGCAAGCTACAGGCCTGATCCAAAACCCACTGAAGTCAACAGAAAGGTTCCCATTGACTTCAATGGGTTTTGGATCTGGCCCTATGAGCCAGATTTTCTTTTTTCAAATGCTGTATCCGTGTAGAGATTAAACTGGCACATATTTAAAATAGAACAGAACACTCCTAAACCAGACTGTGTAATTGACTGCCTCCACACCCCACAGGATCTCATACCTGCCAGACACACCTGAACCTATTTATTGACCTTTACTGTTTAGAGTACTTTATCTAGTCACAGATCTGACTGAGTTCAACTCCCATCCCAGAGAGGTCATACCTGCAAAACAACAACAGATTTGGGTTCATCTCTCACTATGCCCACTCCAAAGAGCCCACGCAGCGATAGGCACCCATGAAACACAGATCTTCCCTGTCTCCCGAAGTCTAAGAGACATGCTGACCTCCAGCCTTTTGGGGAGCATCTCTCAACCATCTGGATTAATTTTAAAGGCAGGTTTTTAAAGCCTCTCACGTGGTTGAAAAAGGGGTTCTGCTGTGTATTTGAGTCTCACTCATTTAAAAACTGTACCTCAGTTGCAGCCCTGGAGTCTCTATCTAGCCCAGGCTTTGGAGCTGGGGGAAGAGAACATGAAGAATAAACCTGCCAAGTTAGAAATTGAAAAGGTGACATGGGAGAACCCCTTACTGGGAATTTTAACTCTCTCTCCCCCTGGTGGTGATGAATTTTGAGGTGGCAGATTTGGTAAGAGATTTTAAATCTCACTTGCCACCTTTTTAGAAATCTCAGCTCATTCAACTTATCCCTCACTCACAACACAGCCTGATATACACACACACACACCCGTGTCCCACAGCCTCTCCATTGGGGCTGAGGGTGCAAGGGGGAGACAGGAGTGGAGCCAGGGCATTGTCCTTATTTCTCTGAACAAGTACGGATTCCTCTAGGACTCTCTCCCGTCCTTAGTGTCTCTCTCCAGCAGCCCCACACAGCTAATACTATCCCCCCTGAGCCTGGATGGCTATGGCTGCGATTGCTGCCTCACGGTAGTGGGGGGGGGGGGGGGGAGAGAGAAGAGATTCCCAGTCTCCAATGACAGGATCTCTCTCTCTCTCTCTCTCTCTCTCTCTGCACCAAAGACACAGGCTCCTTCCCCTCCTCCCACCTGCAGCAGCACAGAGACGCTCGGCGGGGGGCACTTCCCTCCCCGGGCAGAGCTCTGCCTGCAGCCTGGGCTCCCTGCAGCACTCACCTCCCTGCGCCTGGCTGCCGGCTCCTGCGTCCCCGCACTGCCCGCTGCAGCCTCGCTCTGCGCGATCACTTCCCCCGCCTGGGCCGCTCATGCGAGCAGGGGGAGGGCGGCAGCGGCAGCAGGGATCTAATCGGAGGGCTGTTTACTAGCCAGCTCTCGCGAGAGCTCAGGGCAGCAGCAGGGAGGGGGGCGAGGGGTGGGGGCCTGTGACAGCTCTTTGCAGGCGGGAGTCCTCTATTTAGCCCCAGCACATGCCGCTGCGCGCACCGCGCCGCCCCTCCGCATGCAGCGGGGCCAGCTGCTCCCCGCTTCCTGTGCGCTCCTCCCGGCCACCTCCCCGGCCCTCCTGCTGGCAGGGCAGCGCCTTGCAGCGGGGGCTGGCTACAAAGTGTCCTCAGCGCTCCGCGACACAGTGTCCGCAGGACAGTGCCCGGGGGCGGGTCGCGTGTGTCCTGTCGGACAAATTACCGCCCAGTGGCAACCCCTCTTAAAGTCAGTGTGCGCCCGCTCCTCGGATGGGGAGATTCATCCTGGCGCCCCATTGACCTCCGAAGGGCAACGCTGGGTTACACGAGCTGAGCAGCTGCCCCCCCTTTCCTTTAAACTCAGCCAACCCCCCTCAAAGCTTTTTAACAGCCGCTCGTCTCCGTTGGGCAGCTAGGGGTTCAGTCACGGGCTGGCAAATGTAGGGAGATCTCAAAATTGGGAGGGAGGTGTCAATATTAGGGTTCTTTAATTAATATGATGCCCACCTTACACCACTGTACATTAGGTTTAGTGGACCAAATTGTGTGGTGACTTACAAGCCCTTCAAGTTCATTAGGGGTCTTATACACATTAGTGCTCATTGATGAGGATTTATTTAATTGCCTCATTTCAAGTGTCACGGTGTTCATTTATTTTTATCTCATTGTTATAAATGTAGCAAGAGTAATGTGCTAGGCATACTACAGGATATTGTTCATGCACCAGAGATTCCACAGTCCAAGCTGATGTGCATGGGCAGAGCCATGTATTCAATCATCAATCAGTCTCTGTCTGGACCCAAGAGTCCATCTGTGTGAATCAACATTCAGAAATGTTGTGTTTGGTCTATCTGACATGACAAAAGCCTTAAAAAAAAATCACTGCATTTTGATCTGGATATGTTTCTGGAGAGGATTGGAAATGGAAAAGCTGCACTTTCTGATTATCAGCAGAGAATGACACCACTCTATCTAGTTGTGGTGGATGAGTAAATACGAAATTTCAGAAGAATTAGCAAGGGACAAAAAGGCGCTCTCTCCTCAAAAATAAGCAAATACAAAATAGAAAGCTGGTAGATCTGGAGTAGCCGTACTTTCCGAGAGCAGTCCACTGTGGGCAAAAAAGTCTTTTTACATCTTTACAAATGATGACAAGAAACAGGAGAGAATAGAAAACACCCCTTTTAGAAAAAAATACTGGATATGGCTATCTATTGTGATCAACTTCCCCTGATTGTCTGGAAGTTTGGATTTCACCCCCTTGTTCCTTAGCTGCTAAACCCCTTTAATGTCATCACCTAAACAAAGTTGGGGTTAGTGTAAAAGATGAGCACCAGCTGTGACAATGAAAGTTGAATGAATATTCACAGCATGATGTTACAGTTCCTAACTTGCTGCTACTGCTGTTCCATTGGGTCCTGCCAGCACAGCAGATGGCAAACACTGAACAGTTGTTTTACCAGTGGAAAATTACTGAGTTTTGGGACAAGGGTGGTGAGGCCTTTTTATTAGGAGGAGGGGAAAAAAAATAAAAAATACTATTAGTCCCTTGCATCACATGTCCATACTCACAAAAGCAAGTAAAGTCTATGTGATCCCTTTCTCATTTTAGAAAAGCAAAAGTAATGCACTATTTATTACTTAAAATACATAGTGAACAAGCTTTGATGAATTTTAATGGTCATGAAAAAAGAAAGGTATTTTAAACAAACTTCTGAATCCAACATCAGCCTGACTCAGAGAAATTATTTACTTCAATTCTCCTACTTTTACCTGCCTTTCAAAACAGTTGTTGCACAATTTTCCATTGCAACTCAGGCATGCTTTGTTTTGACTTTGGAATTTCACATTTGCATAAGTGCACCCCCCAGAAGTCCTAGGACCTGATCCTGCACTGGGATTGACTCAACTCCAATTAACTTAAATGGGACTTCTAACATGAGTAAAATTAAGCATGTGGGTATTTGCAGGATCCAAGCCATACGGCAAGCAAGAAAAAGAATATTAAACTCACAAATGCACCACAATGAACCATATAGGAGTCCATCCTGCAAATTCTTAATCATGGAAGTAGGTCCTACTCACATAGATAGGCAGTGTGCAAATTTACAAAGGCACATATGTGGTTATGCCTCATACCCAGTGTCTCACAATTGAATGTTAATACATATCTTGGGCCTGTTCTTGCAAACACTTAAGAAAACGGGTAAGTTTACTCACACAAATAGTCCCAATAACTTCTACATTACTACTCATGTAAGTTTACGCACGCAATTGTTTGCAGGATCACTCCCCTTATTTAGCCAAATAAACCACAAGCTTTTAGGAAGATGTACTTCTTGTCCCACCTTCTGATCTGAGCCCTGAATACATTAAATAATATATGTATCTTTAAAATATATATTGTGTATTTTTGTTAACATTCTATTTCTCTAGATGCCTTTAGCAGACAGTCCAACAAAAATTGTATTGTAAATGCACAGTTCTGATCTCTTACGTCCTAGTTTGTACTTTCCTGAGAGCACAGAATTTTTGTTATATTAATGAAATATAGATACAAGAAAACCAGTCTTGTTCATATACACGTAGCCTAGGGAACAAAATTAAATCATTCATCTAAACAAAATATCGAGGAAATTACTTTAGTCACCTTACGAAGTGTCACCTCATATCCTGGATGTCTTAGCAACTGACAAGAAACCTTCCAAAAAAAAAAAATCAATGTTTTGCCAGTTTTAGAAGCAATCCAAATGACATTTTTCCTTTGTAAGTGGCGGGGGGGAAATGCCTCATTAGATGATTGCTGATTTGGCTTCCATTTCTGCAATAGGATTCAAAGGAACATGACATTGTTGTTCCTGGCACAGGTACATCACATTCCTCATGCTGGAGTTTAAGATGTGACAAATGTGTTTCTTTTTATAAGTGATTACAACTTTTATATACTGAAGTTCACTTAAACAACATCTTCTCTCCAAATATTATTCTTCCTGAGTTCTCTTTGGAGAAGATCCTTTGGGGACCTGCTGATGACTTATTTAGTGCATGATCTTTTCCTTAACCTAAGATACATATGGATTATGGTACAGAACATGTTACAAAAACAACTACATTATTATAATGTAGTCTTAAGAAGCTCACGGTTCCTCAGGAAATACAGTCAGCATATGTCTCTTAAAATACTGGACAGACAGACAGACACACTTTTGATTTGGACTCCCAAATAGACATTAGTGGAATGATGAAAATCTGTATTCAGAAAGAATTTCTTTAATAAAAAAATACCAACATTCTTTAGATAAGAAATATTATTCATAATGAATACAGTTATTCTTTCAGGGCTCTATGCAGCACTGCCCCTATCCACATGTCTGCACTTGTCTCCTCCGTCTTCACCTCTGCCAACTTCCTTCCTTAACACACTCTACATCTTATGTAGCGCCATGTTCTTTCCACATCACCCTCTGCACATGGAACATCCATAAACCGCAAGGAACCTCATTCTTTCCTTACTTAAAAAAAAAATCACTGCTTTCAGCTTGCCTTCCACCTGCAGCCATCTATATGACTTCATGCTCCCAAAATAAAATTTAAAAAGGGAACAAGATCTATGCAAAGAATAAATAACCAAATGATGCAACTTTCTGTTATATCCTGTTCCCTGCTCCTCTGTCTATTTTAGTTCCTGAAACCCTTACTCACATGAGTTATCCCACTGAAGATAGTGGCCCCTAGATCTGTGCACAGCTCTCCATGTTGTTGCTTGAAAGGGGGGTCTCCACAGCACCACATCACCCACTCCAAAACCTACAGAAGCCTCTCCCAAATGTCCATGAGCCACTTGAAGGAGAAATGGAGATGAGGCTGGCCAGCGGGGAAGAGTATCCATGGCCAGGGAGAGAATATACATTATCCCACTCCTGGGGCCATGGAAAATTAGTCAAAAAAAGATAATACAGCCTCAGGCTGTGACACCTTTACTGAGGAGACTTCCCACTCTCCCACCGCCCCCCCTACACACACAGATATCCCAGGGACAGCTGTGATGGCTCCAATGGAGCTGCGCTGCAAGGGAGCTGGTGTGAGGAGGTTAGAATTAATGCCAATGGATGGGTCATCCACGCAGAGAGCCCTAGCCTGCCACGAATCCCAGGGAGCCAACAGTTCTAGGGGCAGGCCCATGCCCATTTCCATAACGAAACAAACACGACTATGTGGGGGTGGGGGGAAATCACCGCAGGGGCTATTTCCTGCACTGGGTGGATCCAACTTAATGCAGCAGTGCCAACTCCAAGAGTTCAAAAACCATGAGTCAGAATCCACCCCCCCCACACACACACACACAAAAAAGTAGTAGAAGAAGACATCATGGTTTCTGGTAAGTGTTCTAATTTTTGAACTTCCGCTGCCCATCCACAATGTGGGAGTGACAATTACAGGTTGAAAATTCAACCGTAGATTCAGATAAAATGTATACACAATCAAATAGGTCTTGGCTTTCCTGTACGCTTGCTCCACAATGTCCCCCTTCCCACCACACACACACACACACTTTCTTCCACCCAGCTCTCCAGAGCCCTCCTTACTACCTTGCTCCCACCAGCTCTAAGTACCCTGACAGGCTCCAGCATAATATCTACCCTCTTATCTCCAGCTTGCATGGATGGTGCTTCTCCTGGGCTCCTTCCTTCATTAACACCCCCTCACTGCACTGTGGTGGAGGTGAGGAGGGAAGCAGTCACTGCTGTGCCATGCTGCTCCAGGATTCTGTTCCACACACAGCACATGGGGAACCCCAGTACTGCAGGTGGCTGCTACAGCACTTAGAGATTAATGAGTCTGCTCC